TGTTTAACTATGCTTTCACATGATTAAATTAAATTGTACATAAATGTATTCTTTTCTTATTTTCTTACAGAATATTTCAGTACAGAAAGCAATTTTATAATCTAAGTTGGATCACTTCTCATTTTTATTACTAATTTAAATCATATTTCTCAAAGTTAAAGAAGCATATTGTTTCAGGAAAATTAGATGCTTTCCCTCGGTATTATGGCATGCTAAAATATATGCTAATATTGCAGTGAGAATCATTATTGAGTTTCTCTATATAGCACTGAAAGGAAAAACAATTAAAACTGCTTTAGGCTATCAATAATTCATGAGGGAAATGTCTATTCCTACTAGACTACATCTTAAAAAAATCCAAGTGAGACAAGAGGGAGCCTACTGAATTCTTCCCAAGAGAGCTCTCCCCTCTACTTTATGAGGGAGTTCATTTCAAGCTGCCCTTGGGCTTCTAAAATAGCTATACATCGTCCTAGTCTTCATCTGCCTTCTCCAGCAACTTACAGGAAGGCTTTTGCAAGAAATGAGGCTTTCACAAGAAGACCCTTGTCAAGTAAATAAATAAACTCCTGGGGAATACCTTCTGCATCTTTCTGATTAACCAGCAGAGTACCTAGCATGATGCCCTCTATGCAGAAAGATCCAGTAGACCGCCATTTAGACATTCCATCCCCACCCGTGTTTTAGATATTTCATCCCTCCAGCCCTGCTTCTTAAATCTCCCACCCGCTTGAAACCTGGGGTTTCCTAAATGATTTCCAGGCCTGCTGCCATACTCCATTTTTAATAGGAATCTCTAAAGTGAGCTATAATTTGAAAATACGTAATCAAGGACACTGTGGGATTCTCAGCTTTAGGCAATATGTTCTGTCGGATAGAAGAAAGCTCTGGCAAACAGCAGACCCAGATTCTTGCACCAGCTGTGCTCCCAACTTACTCTATAATTTCAATCAAGTCATTCTAATGGCTATTGTCTGTCTGTTTCACTGGTGGAATCTACAGAAGTCCTAGCCTTCCTGACTCCTTAACAATGATCATGTGAGGATCAATGAGATGAAGTCTGCAGAGATATGTTGTCCCCTTGGGGAAAGACACTTTGAAAATAAAGGTATTAGAGAAAATCTCTGGTATGGCTTTCAAAAGCTCAGATTCCCAACTCTTATGTTGTATGCACGTTTTCTGGCAATTAGGGCATTACTGCTTTTTCTCCTGTAATGAAAGCAATACAAAAAAAGAAAACCCATCAAAACACTACTCCTGTTGAAACTGAATAAAGAAAGCAAACTTTCATTTCATTCCTTTCATGGATGATGTATTTTCTGAGTATAAGCATATTGCGTATAGCACAAGTTGGCAGACTTGTCCCCAAATACACTTCCATCTGGTGACCGGACCTCAGTTTTACATGCTCAATTGCACATTGTTTAATTGCCTGTCTCTGCCAGTAGCGTAAATATATTATATATTAATAAGTTCCTGTATATGTTTGTACATACATATAAACATGTATTGACTCCCCTTGTATTGAGTTTTTGTGTGCAAATTTGAAAAAACCATGGACTTGTCTATGCATTTTAACAGAAATAAACCCCCTCAAGGTTTCTGTTTCAAATCATGCCCACAGGCATAGACTGAGGGGTATGCCTGCTATGATTTCGCCTTCACATACTTCAAAAGAATGTGTGCATGTTTGTGTTTGGGGAATGGTGGATATAGGGAAAGAGGGGTTAGGAAGAAAATCCTTTGTGAATGCGAAATATTCCCTGTGTATTCTTCAGAATCAAAATATCTGAATTCAGTGCTTTCATACGGTTCTTCAATTTAAAATGCTAGATTCAACTATATTTTATCATGGCCTAATTTGATATTATCCAGTCTTCAAATACCCTGAGAAATGCTTTACTCATGCATCAATCTCTCAAAAAATGGATAAATTGCTCTTAACTCCACATTAAGGCTAAAGAAAAGCTTTTGAAGAAGTTGCAAAGTATTGAAAAATGGGATTTAGCATAAAAATGCCTTCCAAATAAACCACCAAAATGCCTATTGTGATGATCTATGATGAGGGAACCTGCTGGCTGTGTGGTACTCACATGAGAGGTTCTAGCAGCTCCTTCTGAGTTGGGGAGATAATTGCTTTAGTAGAATTCATAAACTCACAAGCTCAATTCACCTAGCAAAAAAAATCCTAAATAAATATCATTGGAAAATAAAATCTTTATTTGCAGCATGGAGAACCACTAGTCTGAAGACTGTCAGTTTTGAAATCTGAAGTAATGCATTACCCTGCAGGGCCCCATCCATGCCAGCTTAAACAGATGTAGCGTATTTGTTTCTGAAATGTGCTCTGCTGGGGGAGAAGACATCTGTTTTTTTCCCTTTCTCATTTAAAGACTGAAGGTTAAGAAAAATAAAACTTGCTTTTGGAATGATATTTATGTTACATTTCAATATTGAATAAATGTTCATGAGTATTTTATAGGTGCCTGAAAATAAGGTAAGATATTAACAGAGAAACAGTTTTGTGAGCCATACGGTGATATGAGCACTTTCTGCTATAGTGAAGTGGCATTAGTTTTATATGAGCAGTTATAATGAAAATTTAATGTAGTTAAAAAGAATTAACTCTGCACAGTGAGCATTCAACTTACCACAAATGTCTTAGCCAGAAAACAAACCCTACACATCAAAGTAATTGTGAAATTCACATTTGTTCATAAACTATGAAATGAAATTCATTGCTTAATATTTCAAAGCTTTTAGAGTTAATACATTTAAAAACTGAATAATAGTGATATTCTTTATGTAAATTTGTGTCTCCTAAGAAAGGAAGAAGAAAGAAGAGAAAGAAAAAAGAAAGAAGAAAGAGAGAAGAGAAAATAATCCCACAAGTTAAATAAATAAATAAATAAACTCTACCCTTCAAACCAAATCAGGACTAACTTATATACATTTAGATATAATTTAAATTCTTTAAAAATTTATGCAAATTTTATTAATAGAACATATTAGGTCTAAAAGGTGATATCCAACTTTGGATCTAATTTCCCTTTCTTACTAGAAAAACTTCCAGTAATTTGTTTTACAGGTAAAAGCTTCTTAACTTTTGTCATCTACTATATCTTGCCACAATGATGGAAATAAATCAGTACTTGAAGGAAGACACTTTGACTGAAATAATGTAAGAGAGTCCAGTGTAACATAATTTATCTCAAAGAAAATGAAAACCAGGGATATTCTATTCTAGAAGCCTAAGAGGAAAATGTGTCACACTCTCTCAGGATTTATGCTAGACCAGAGAGGTTGGAAGTCAACAGCCACTGAAATGCCATGCAGTCTCTTACTAGATCACGTGTTACAGTAGAATGAGCGGTGATCTTGGTATCCAAAACGATGTTTTACTTGTTAGTTTAAAACATGAGCATCCACCTCTTTACCTATTTTAAAAGAAAAACTTGATGTTTGGGTTTCACATTTTTCTTTCAAAAGGTACTTTCTTAGCATAATGTATACTTCTGATGAAGTTGACACTTGCTGTGGAAAAGGAAGATAATGTTTTAGAATAAAAATATAAGAATCGCTTTTCAGGAAGAAAAGAGGGACGTGACTGATGGTCAGTTCCTAAGGGCTTCCACACCCTACTTTGGTTTCAATGTCTAGATTTTTCTAATACACAAGTACATCCAAAGATCATCTCCTTAAATTGCCTTCCAATCAGTTGAAGGGCCTTGTGACCCTCAGAAAATAGAGGAGATGGTGAACTTTGTAACCATAAGTTAGGAAAGATCAAGCAAACAATTTTAAAAAGTTTATAGCATCTGCCCAGTAAGACAGGAAATGTTGCACAGTGATATCCTATAATGATGAGGCTGATTTATGGAAGCTGTTGTGTAAGTTCAAGCGCTTTCAGTATGCAGCACATCAAGCAATGCACTAGAGTGGCTGGTGCCTCTTCTGAGTACTTAGCAATTTCTTTTACCGGTTGACAAAGGTTCTGCTGCTTAGATCTTGGGTAACCGGAGCCGCCTTACCCCTAGCCTTGGGCATCCAGGTGACCTCTGCGGGGATAAAGTCCTCCTTTCTTATCTAAAAAGTGAGGTAGATGTTGTGGTGTAGTTTATGTTCCAGAGTTCCCCACAAGATCAGTCTGGAGCAAGACTTCACCTAAACCATATCGCTACTTAGCTTCTTCCTCTTTCTTTCTCCTTCTTTCCTTACTCCCTTACACATTTTTCCTAGGAACATTCCCATAAAAAAAAAAAAGTCCCTTGCACAAGAATTTCCATGATAAGAAGTGCTTCCAGAGCACCCTAAGACACATCACAGAAAAATTGGCCAAGTTCTCTGTGTACCAAACAAAAGGAAGAGTTTTCTGACTTCACAGTCCTACGCAACCCAATCATATGATGTTTGAACTGGAAGTGACAATAAAAAATCTGTATATTGATTAAGGAAACTAAGGCCCCCAAACAACTTGTACATCACTCAGCAATTTAGTAAGAGAGTCAGGACTAGCACTCCTGTACCCCATCTCCCTGTCTGGTGCTCCTTTTGCTTCAATATCATGAGAATATTTTTAAAAGTCTTCTCTTTTTATGACTTCAGTTGTCATCAAATTACCTATGTAGTCACCTACCTGTGAAAACTATTCTTCGTTAATGAAAGACTCAAACATGTCAGCTCAGTGATAAAAAAAATTTCCAAGTTATAATGAAGCTCTGACTTGGGCCACTTTTGTAATAGTAAAAATATTAAACACAAAATAAAATCTAAGATTTATTTAGAATTTACGATAACCTGGACCCTCTGCTAATTGTTTTGCACATATTACACCATGTATTTCTTTCAGCAGGATGAATACAGTAGATACCATTATAATATCCACTTTAGAAATAGGAAAGTCAAGGCTCAGAGATGAAAATAGACATGCAGCAATTACAAATGAAAGCCAGGGTCAAGGCTGTATCTGACTTACTCATATTTGCCTTCGTAACCCCCAGATTACATTGCCTCTCCGTGGACTCCTGGCTGTACATTCTCCAATAAGCAGTCTTGGTGACCCACTGGAATGTGCCCTTTCAGCTACTGTCATTAATGTAAGTTTTTTTGTTAATGAGACTAACAAAAGGCAAGAAACTATTTTTTAAAAAGGATCTTCATTTATACAAAATAATTGAAAAGAAAAATTTGCCTCTTTATATTTTTTTTAACTTTTTAATTGGATATTGGCAAGTTATAACTGTATATATTCATAAGGTAAAAAATGATGCTGTGATGTGTGTATACAATGTGGAATGATTGGCTCAAGCTAATTAATATCCATCACCTCAAACACTATCATTTATTCCTCCCATCTAGTTGAAACATTATATTCTTTGATCATCACCTTGCCTTTCCCCACCCCCAGCCTCTGGTAACCACCATTCCAGTTTCTACTTCGGCAAGTTCCGTATTTTTAGCTTCCACATATAGGTGAGGACATACAAATTTATCTTTCTGAATTTGAATTTTTCTTAAGTTAAAGTAATACATATTATTTTGGCACTGATCCCAAAGTATTATTCTACTTACTGGTTTATCATCCTATTTATTGGGGAAGTACACAATCCCTTGAATATTTCAGAACTATAAGAGTTATATTACATTGTGATGAGCTAACATGTTTGCCTTTGTCTTGCGGTGTCCCTGGGTTTTGGCCAATTTTAATTTGGAGCTATGTGTGATTTGATAATCCTTTCTCATTGACAATGCAAACACAAATTCATGACTATAAAATATGACATTATCCATTTGATGGGTAAGAGGGACTATGTTTGTGTTGAAAAGGAAGTCATTTATCATGGTTCCATCAAGAGGGACTCACCTCAGGGTGGACACTAACTTTGCCAGAGAAATATTTTGATCATTTAATTGAATTTTCTCCTAACTGGAATATCAACTCATGTTTTGTGACCTTTTTATATGTTTGGCAACATACAACATACAAATATGTTCTTATTTTAAATTAATAAATGCCACAAATTGGTATTTATAAATTATGCAAAAATAAACCATGGTTTCTTTACTCATTCTAATGGTAAACACAAGATTAAAGGCTTATATGTCAATGACCTGCTTTCTTTTCTTTCTTTTTCTTTTTTTTTTTTTTTGAGATGGAGACTTACTTTGCTGCCCAGGCTGGAGTGCAATGGCATGATCTCGGCTCACTGCAACCTCCTCCTCCTGGGTTCAAGTGATTCTCGTGCCTCAGTCTCCCAAGTAGCTGGAAAAACAGGTGCCCCGTTTTTTTGTGTGTTTTTAGTAGAGACGAGGTTTCACCATTTTTACCAGGCTGGTTTCGAACTCCTGACCTCAAGTGTTCACCCACCTTGGCCTCCCAAAGTGCTGGGATTACAGGTGTGAGCCACTGTGCCCGGCCTAATTTTTTTTTGTCCCAGTTTTGACTCAGCAGGTTATGATCCACTGCAAACTACTACAATTTGCATTTTCTTTTCCCTAAATGAGTCTTAACATTTTATACCTTATAACGGTCCAATTATCCTGACATTTTATTTTTTTGTCTAGAGGAAAAGAACCAAAATCATTGTTTTTTCTATTTTATTTTTAAACTAGCCATAGTGATTGCCATCCTGTTGTAACAGTTGGCTGATGTTTTGGTCTACTTTTGCATTATCCTGCAGGTATCCTTGTGGTTGATCTCCATGCACACTCAAACACCCCAACTCTCCAACACAATTACACCCACTTCCATGTGGTTGGCCTTATACTGGGGAAAGGGGAAGGCACAGAAGTTCAATAGGGGATACCTGGGATGACAGCCTAGCAGGGATAAATAATCAAATAGTTTTGCTGGTCTCATGAGGAGTAGAAAAGTAGACAAAATATCAAAGTAACATAATGAGTCCCAAAGGTTATGAAAAATTAGTCATGGCCGGTAGTGCAAAAGGAAAAATCGAGAGAGTGAATTCTGAAAGAATATACGTCTTACCCACATGATATCTATACTGACCAGCATTTGCGAATGAATTTTCTCTAGCGCAACTGTTGTGCGAAGGCTTAAGATCATTTCTACAGGAATCATATTCCAAGTAAATTCAGCCATGCTAAATGCAGTTTCAGCCTGCAACGCCAGATAAACATTTGCTGTTAGAAAGAATGTCAACACCCCATCAACCACCATATACTACTCAGCATTGACTCAGCCAAGTCTCCAATTTATCTGTATCATTTGTTATAACCGTAGTTTTAATTCTGCCATGTCTTCCATTCCAATGTATCTAATGTTAGACCATTTAAGAAATATTTAACCAGGAAAGTTTAATCACAGTGTACTAGAAAAGATGCTCTTACCTGATAAGGGGAAGAATTGGATTTTTTTCCTCCATTTTGACACAGCTAGCCATCACTTTGGGGCAAATCACAACCTTATCAAGCTTCAGCTTTCTCATCTGTAAAATATGTGCACTGAAACTGTAACTCTACCATTCTGTTATGATAGGGATCTGAGCGATTTCACTTCTATAGCGATTACATCGTGAGAGCACTGGCCCTATAAAGCCAAGAAGGAATGAAAAGAGGCTAAGACAAAAAATAGTGAGTTAAAATGTAAAGGATACCTTGTACCCCCCCCCAAAAGAAGTTACAGTTTCCTTGGTACCCTGGGCATATTCTTACAGGTTTTCTCAGTAGCTTATAAGCATTTTTTTTTTTTTTTTTTTTTGAGGCGGAGTCTCTGTCGCCCAGGCTGGAGTGCAGTGGCGCAATCTCGGCTCACTGCAAGCTCCGCCTCCCGGGTTCCCGCCATTCTCCCGCCTCAGCCTCCCGAGTAGCTGGGACTACAGGCGCCGCCGTCACGCCCGGCTGATTTTTGTATTTTTAGTAGAGACGGGGTTTCGCCGTGTTAGCCAGGATGGTCTCGATCTCAGGACTTCGTGATCCACCCGCCTCGGCCTCCCAAAGTGCTGGGATTACAGGTGTGAGCCACCGTGCCTGGCCTTGAGCATATTCTTGACTTTTTGACATGTTAACATCGTAGTCTTCTTTAAACATTATCCCCTGAACCTTGAAGGTTACAGACATTATAGTACTAATGACAATGTCCTTGAAAGATCAAAAAACGTAATTCTTGAGGTGCTGTTGTTTGAAGTCTTCATAACTAATTTCAAATTAAATGAGCATCAAGAGAAAACAGTTACTCCTGAAATATTGTGCTCTCAGTTGACTTTGGTTTTTTTTTTTTTTTTTTTTTTTTTTTTTTTTTCTTTTTTAAAATTCTTTATCTCGGGAAGCATATTGTCTATGTTTGTGTCAGGGTTGCCCTCATTATACCCAACCACTTTTCAACTACACTTGGCTGAGGCTTACTCTAGAATAACACAGTTCTAAAGTTATCTGTTTGCATATGGTTGATTCAGGAGGGATTCAAAGGATAAATTTATTGTGTTTCTGTGAAAGACAGCCCTTTTTCCCCCCAAGCCTAAATATATATATATTTTTCTAAATGCACCCTCAAAATCAGTGTCTTTCTCAATTTAATATTATATTGGAAGAAGAAGCGTTGTTTAGACACATAGTTATGTACTACTGACTGTTGCTATAAAAATGAAGTTTAATCTGCACAATTTCCATTGCTTTTCCTTTGAAATCTGGTGTTTATTGCAACAGAACTTCAGATTTTGCAACATGATAGTCTGAAAGACAGGCCAACACAGGCAGCTCTTTGGAAACAAGAGACCTGGTGCTTCCAACGGCCAAAAAGCTGGCCAAACACCAGCAACAAGGGAAAGACACGTCAGGTAGGTTCTGCTGATTTCCCAGGCCTCCTTTAATTCTTTTACAGAGGACTTCTTTTAACAAATTATTAACACTATTTTGTTCTGATGGTTCATCTGTGTTTCTGTTAACCATACTCTCCTGGAAGAGACTTTGGCCATCTGGATGTGGTTTTTGTTTCTGTGAGAAAGGAATTTTGTGTCCTTGACATGTCCCTAGTATAAATGAATGTTTAATAAGGAAAGCATGGATCAAGATGGTATATGTTTCCAGGTTAGTTTAGAACAACTACTATGAGTTATTTAGTGCATACAATTAAGCATGAAAGCATGAAAAATACATTTATTAAAAAATATTTATGGGACACTCCAGAATAACTTGATAGTTTGGGACAATCACATGACCTTCTGCACATAACATGGTCATCCTTGGGTTAAAAAAGGCAACTAAATTCAAATTTACACACTATATACTAGTGTGAATTTTACTTTCAAGAGATCTTGATAAGCTTGTTTCATTATTAAAAAACTAGGAATTTAAGATATAGATTTGCAGCAAACTATAACAAACGACAAGCTAAAGGCTAAATCAACTCAAGGAATAATGTTTGAAGTGCATATACGTTTTCTGGTTTTCACTCTTTACTGCACTGACAATTTCTATGTCATCATTAGTCCCCAAATATTAGTAAGTATCTTATCTGGCCAGTGAGTTTTGTTTTTCTTCTGAATTTTAAAGTTGAAGAGCCAGTGAGGTATTTTCTCATAAGTTAAATCAAATTATCCGTATTAGTGTTGGTACTAAAAAATATCATTTTCCTTATTTTATACGTAAATAAAGACAAAAATCTTAGTTCAATATTGGGTGTAATTTAGGTGCTTATTTCTATATACCTATTCTTATCTACCTGTTCTTAGGAAGGACTCTCTTAGGTTATAATGAAGTTCTGTCTCTCCAAGGTCTATACAAAAAATAATTGTGCTTTCTGGAAACTACACATTTGGTAACAATGGTCACCAGTCTTCTCTGTCATTAAAATGTGTACTTTCTTACCTGGAGTAGTAAGATATTATTGTTGCCCTTAACTCTTTTTTTTTCTTTTATTATTATACTTTAAGTTCTAGGGTACATGTGCACAACGAGCAGGTTTCTTATGCCCTTAACTCTTTTCTTGAGCTCTAATAAATTTCTTCACTACTTGGTCTTAAAAACATGGAGGCTTTAAATCTAACTTGTGTCTTTGTCATTATCTGTGAATTATAGTCTCTACTTAAAGGATCGCCATGCAAGGCCCCCCCTTTCTTTTTTTTTTTTTTTTTAAAAAAGCACCCTTTTTAAATTTTACCACTGTAACTAGGAAATTACTGATAAATCAGTCTTGTTCATACAGAATATTGTTTAAATGGTTTTTATCACAAGGTATTCTGGAATGAATAATAATATGTAAAATGTGATGAGTATTTAGTGAAAATCTCTGTAGAGTTGTTATATTATCAGTGTAACGCATAGTCAGAGAGTTTGTTTATATTTCTGTATTTCTCAATCTGAGACATCGTAATTATTTCAATCTTCAAATGTTCAGCCTTTGTTAACATAACATCAGACATTTGAGATCAGTGTGAAAACAAGGCGCCCTACACCTGAAGGGGACTCTGGTCTAATAATGTGTCTGATCACTTAGTTTGGATAAATAGTCGGGTTATATTTCATGCCAGAAAAAGCTTGGAAAATGAGGGTAGAAGCTATAATTAGGTTTTACTTGGATACAGCATTGGGCAATTATTAAAAAATGAGCTAGGTAAAGAATGCTATTTTCCTAATTTTATATTCTAAATATCAATATGAGACATTTATCATCAGACCTTTTAAAAGCCTCTGCTTTTAAAACAGACATGGTGATAGATGACTTAAACTCAGACAACACCAGACTCTAAAAGCAAGATAAACCACAAGGAATTACTTCCTTTTAGTTTAAGAAAACCTGGACCTCTTAATAAATCAGTAGGTAATATATTGTAATGATTTTGTATTAATATACTCTTTCTACCATTTGAACTGGTTGCATCATCCATACATCAAGCAAATAAATAAGTTTCTCGAAAGACAGGTTGCTCAATAGCATCTTATTAATGGAGAATGAGCCAACTCTTCAGTAATTTGGAATATCTGTTAGAGATTGCTCAAAAATAAATGTAACCTTGACCAGATATGTTACACATAAACAGTATAATCTATGGCAATACAATGAAAGTAGGCCCATTCTGAACTTAGGCCTTTTGTTACTCATAACCTGATACTGTGAACATTTGTTCTTTAGTAAACTCTGCTACAAATCATCAGAGTGATTATTATATAACGGAAGATTCTCTGACTGATATTCTCATACTTTCCTTTCCACACTGGAAACACGAGGAAATTCTAGGTGGTAAAAACCGCAACCGCACAAAAAAACGTAAAGTCAACAAACAAGGAAAATACATCTCTGAATATAGGAATGCCAAACCTTTGACAAAGTAAAACACAGATTTTATTTCAGAAGGCTATATTGTTATATGTGTATATCAACATCAACATGTCCAGAGTAGCTGCACAAAGTTACATATTTTAGTCTTTATAAGTTCCCCTCCTCACCCTACCCAGTAGGCACTTTGTATCCAGAAACTTCTGTGTCAACAGTTTCCCCTCTCTCTGGAATGCATCAGGACAGGAGTGATTGGTGTGGTGGAGGAAGGTTGTGCTAAGAGTGAAGTTACATGAAAGTAGGATGGAGGTTAGCAAGTAGTTAAAGTCCAGAAAGGCAAAGGATTACTTCAGTAAGGTGTTAAGGAAGAGCTTTTCCATTTTACAGGTCTGAGCAAGCAGGAAATCAACTCTATGAACTTTGAAACTCAGTAAATATGAAAACATTCTCAATACCATTTGTCAAATAATAAATACAAATTAAAACTATACTATTTTACTGCTTGCACCCAGAAGTTAGTCAAAGATCTAGTCTTAATTATTCATTGTGTCGGTAAAGATGTAACAACAACAACAACAAAACCCCAAGCAGTATGCATATTTTTTGTGAAGGTTTAAATTGGCATAATTCTTTAAAATAAGAATTTGTCAATATCTGCCAAAATGAAAAAGGTGCATAGCTTTTGACCCAACGATTCCACTTCTAAGACTTTATCTTATGCCTAAGTGTGTTAATAGGCAAGATGATGGGTATATCTAGCTATTCAGTGAGTCACTGTTTTGCAAGGGTCAGAAAACTGAAAATAATGTAAAGCCCCTTCACAGAGAATACATATTCAGTCACATAAAAGAAGAGGAGAAATTTTGATGTACTGCTATATGAAGAACTCTCAGATTTGCTATTAAATAATAATATAGTTCAGTGTAAATATAGATAGTATTCTATCATTTGTGTAAAAACTGGAAAATAAAATAGTAAGATTCTGAATTTTAAAACAATTGAATGTATTAACTATTCAAAGAATAGTTAACAAAAGAATGTATTAACTATTCTGCCTACTGCCTAAGGCCTGGGAGGAGTAGAAGAGAAGAGAGTGTGGATATTTACAGCATAGCTTTCATTCAAAATTTTTTTAAAAACTGAAATCTTTATTGTCACTCAAGGATGGAAAGAAGTCTGACTCATACTAGAAAATAGAATGGAGGTAGACGGTGTACATAGTAGAACTGTCTGAAGCAGAGAAGGATAATGGAATTACTGAGCTGGTTAGTTAAAGAATCCATTATTAGTTTGCAATGTTATTAATTCCCAGGATATCTTCATACATAAATACAAAAGAAATCCCCACACTTCAAAGCTAAATACAAATCATTGTTATTATACACTTTAATTGTCAGCAGATAAACTAAACCATATATTATAAAATAATGAACATATTAGCTAATATATCTGAAAGCTTTTGTTAAGCCCTAATGTGATCTACAAGTGCTAATTATGTTTTTATCCTAATAATTAAAATCACTATTACTACAGTTAGTAGTTTAGTAACATTTATTTAGCTTTTCCTTTGTATTGGAGCCCTATTCTAGAAGGTAGGGGTAATAGGGTAGAAATAGTCCTCTGAAAAGCTCATAAAAACACTCACATGAATATTCATACATATACATATACAGACACACACACACACACACACACACACACACTTGGAGAAACTTACTGACCAACATCCACAAACAGAATAAGTTGCAGGCTGAAATGCAGTAAAAGGGTGATAAATATCAGAAGACATTAAGAAAATTTTTCTGTGAGGTGTTAATGTTTGAGCCACGTTTTGAAGAAGGGTAGACATTAAAAAAAAAAAAGCACATAATAATCCAGGAAACGAAATGGCAACTTCATTAATAGGCAGACAATGTAAAAAGCTATGGAACTTTGAACTTGGCTGATGACAAAATGTCAAAATAAAATTAGTTCTGTGAGACATCAGTCTAGTCATCTTTTAAAAAATTCTAGAAGATAACATTGGAAAAAAACTTTCCAGACATTGGCTTAGGCAAAGACTTCATGACCAAGAACCCAAAAGCAAATGCAACAAAAACAAAGATAAATAGATGGGACTTAATTAAACTAAAGAGCTTCTTCACAGCAAAAGAAATAATCAGCAGATTTAACAGACAACCCACAGGGTGGGGGAAAATCTTTACAATCTATATCTGACCAAGGACTAATATATCCAGAATCCACAAAGAACTCAAACAAATTAGCAAGAAAAAACAGTCCCATCAAAAAGTGGGCTGAGGACATGAATAGACAATTCTCAAAAGAAGACATACAAATGGCCAACAAACATATGCAAAGAGTGCTCAACAACACTAATGATCAAGAAAATGCAAATCAAAACCACAGTGTGATACCGTACTCCTACAAGAATGGCCATAACTTAAAAATAAAAAAAAAAAATAGATGTTAGCATGGATGTGGTGAAAAGGGAACACTTTTACACTGCTAGTGCGAATGTGAACTAGTATAGTACAACCACTATGGAAAACAGTGTGGAGATTTCTTAAAGAACTAAAAGTAGATCTACCATTTGATCCAGCAATCCCACTACTAGGTATCTACCCACAGGAAAATAAGTCATTATACAAAAAAGATACTTGGACATACATGTTTGTAGCAGCACAATTTGCAATTGCAAAAATATGGAACAAAACCAAAGTCTCGCTCTGTCACCCAGACGAGAGTGCAGTGGCAGGATCCCGAGGTTGTTCACTGCAACCTCAACTTCCTGGGTTCAGGCCATCCTCTCACCTCAGCCTCCCAAGTTGCTGGGATTACAGGCGTGCGCCACCATGCCCAGCTATTTTTTTGTATTTTTAGTAGAGAAAGGGTTCGTCAAGTTGTCCAGGCTGGTCTCAAACTCCTGTGCTCGAACATTCCACCTGCCTCAGCCTCCCAAAGTGCTGAGATTACAGGCATGAGCCACAGTGCCCAGCTCTGAAGTCTTTCTAAGGATCATTTATTTTCAGTGATATTTGTATATTGTTTATTTCACAAAGCCTCTTTATATTTTTTCCTTTTCTTCACTTATGGTACATTTCTGCCCTTTATTACCCAATTTAATTTTTATTTATTCTAAGTTTTCATTACAGGCCATATGAGGGTAGATCACGTTATACATTTTCTTATCCTCTCTTTATATTGAAAAACAAATAATGCGAATACTTTTATAGTTGAAAAGTTTGCTTTTTATGCTCTAGTGGTATCCCGATTTGTTACTTGAAAAAAGGTCATTTTTTACGCAACCATAAGGTCAAAA